AAAAATTCCCAAATCCAATTTCCCTCTGATTAGGAAACTTGGTGCACAGGCTGAGGAATTTGAGGGAGGGGGTAGACAGGAATTCAAATGCCACTGGGAAATCCTGACATTTTAAAAAAACATGCTGAATATGGAGGAAAAAGCCCGAAAGGGCTCAAATTTCCCTTGAGATGACCAACAGCAACTGGCTGTTAGGTCACTCTTACTATTTTTTTTCAGCAACATCATTTTGATTCATTTTGATTCAAGTTCTTATAAAAAACAGGCAGTCACATGAAATGAAGCAGGATGGTCAAATCAAAGCAGAATAATTCTGACAATCATGACATGAAACATCCAGATTTTTTTCAATGGCAAAAGTGCCAATGAAATTGCATGTATTTCACTGAAAAATGTTTAGTTGCAACTTTCGACTCGCTGCTGCTCCAGAATAGCAAGCTGGCTTTTTCATTTGTCTCCTTGTTGCCTCAAGCAGATGGCCATGCCATGTATCAAAAAACAAAGAGAACATTAACATGTCCACAAGGGTTATACACTAACATCTCCAAAATGGTGGCAGCACTTAAGAGTGAGGTCTAGAAAAGCTGCTGAGCATGAACAAACAGGGACTACAAGTTGCCTTCAATGGTTTTGTTCTGTCCTGCCTTCTGAAAGCTCTTTTAGCTAAATCTGAAGGCTGTGAGTTTGCTTTTTATGGCATAAGGGGTAAAGGCAACTGAAAAGGTGCATATGCCTTGCAGGTTTGGAGCTCTGGCCTAAGAAGGTACTGGAACAGGGGAGGCAGAGGCAAAATGCTGATTAACGACAAACTGATAAAAAACAAAGAGAGAAGAAAAATGGATGTGGGTCTAGGGATGATTTTTTTTTAACCTTCTTTCTCAGCCGAATATATTTTTTCTGCATATAAGCTCTTCTCTCCATTTATTTTTCTACCCCTAGATAACACAGCATGGATTTTGACAAGGCGCTCTGGCTTCAGACAGCATGAGCAGAACACCTTTTACCTCCCCATCCTGATTAGCGACAATGGTCGCCCTGTGCTGAGCAGCACGGGTACGCTCACCGTGCACGTGTGCAGCTGCGATGATGATGGCATGGTCATGTCCTGCAATGCGGAAGCCTACGTGCTCCCCGTCAGCCTGAGCAGAGGGGCACTCATTGCGATCCTCGCCTGCATCTTTGTCCTGCTAGGTAAACTCTTGGCTGCTTCCTGGGAGGGGACAAAGGGTTCTGGCCAGGGGGTTGCTGATCCACTGAAGGTGAAGGACACACACACACATATCTATTTATATATATATATTATATGTAGACGCACACATACTTAAAGGGACAAATCAGGGACCAGATGGTGTAGTCAGCTGCATATGACTTCAGACCCTGGGGTCTAGGAATGGGGGAAAAATATGGCCTGCAAATATTTCTGCCAGATCCCCAAAGGGCTAGGGTGTCTGGTATGGCCCTGCTTTCCTGGAAGGAGTATGCCAGGAGGAAGTACAGAGAACTGTGGCTCTTGTGGACAAGTGCACAAGTTACTTTCTCATCGTCAGCAGTTTCTGATCATAAGCTCTTGCAGAAAACAGGAGTGACAAGTCCAGTTCCACCTCTTGTCCTTTGGCAGGAGATACCCCCACCTCCATCCTTTTTCCTTGAGACACTACATTTTAATGGTGCCTGTTCTGCTCTAAAGGGGCCAAGCATCTTGCACATGTTCTGTCTCCGCAAATAAATTTCATGCTTTGCTTGCCCAGGCCTTCTATGTCCCCTGTTAGCTGTTGGCATAAAAGCAACTTCAGTTCCCTCATTCACTCTCTTGAGTCATGAGATACTAGTTGAAAACACACATTCCCTGAAATTTCAGAGGAACCGTTTTGAGGAGCAGTGGAGTAGAATGCAAGAAAAATTCTTTGAAAGTGCCTCGATTCTGGCCCTGCAAAGGAGCCTGGATATCTCAGTCCAAAATTTCAGCATTCAAAACCTTTGCTGAGTTCTAGCCCTGGAAATACAGTCACCAGGTGACAGCATATTTTCCATAGTAAAGGCCTCCAGTGCCTGTATAACCACTTCTCCCCGTGCTAAGAAGCATCTGCATCTCGTTAGCGCAGAGCAACCAGCAGTAGTTCTACCCAGCCCAAGGCAGTGCCTTGCAGATAAACACAAGAACGCTTTGGAGCAGACTAAGGGGCTAGCTCTGCATTTTGCCATGTAGGCAGACATATCACCGCGGTGCCTCAGCACCATCCGCCTAGGGCACGTGCGGCGCCCAGCCCAAGAGGTATCCCCAAAGCAGGCTGCAAAACCCAGCCACGCAACAGGAGAAAATTATCTCTATGGAGCTGTGTGCCACTGCAGATAAACCATTAGTGATCTGGCTAGCCTAAAAGTAGCTCAAGTACCTCCACAGTGCAGCAAGCACCACTGGATAGAGACGTCCTAAACATCACTGAGAGTTAAGAATTAAGGTGAGAGAAGGAAGAGATTAGCAGGACCTCAAGCTCCTAATTTTGACTGGGGGAGGGGATTTCTGCACCCCTCTGCCCGCAAACACCACAGCTCATTAAGTCCAAGGGGCTGGCTGGGCTCACCGGGGGGAAAACAAGGCAGCAGAGAGTCTGAAGGCCTTGCAAGAGATGCCCCCTCGCTGACAGCCCTGTGTCTCGGTTGCCTCCCACAGTGCTGGTGCTCCTCATCCTCTCCATGCGGCGCCAGCGGAAGCAGCCGTACATCATCGATGAGGAGGAGAACATCCACGAGAACATCGTCAGGTACGATGACGAGGGCGGCGGGGAGGAGGATACAGAGGCCTTCGATATTGCCGCCATGTGGAACCCACGGGAGGCCCAGCTGGTGGTGAAAAACCGGCAGGACATGCTCCCTGAAATAGAGAGCCTCTCCCGATACGTGCCTCAGGCGTGCGTCATGGACAACAACGTCCACAACTACGTGCTCGCCAAGCTGTATGAAGCTGACATGGACCTGTGGGCGCCTCCCTTCGACTCCCTCCAGACGTACATGTTTGAAGGGAACGGCTCGGTGGCGGAGTCGCTCAGCTCCCTACAGTCGGTGACGACAGACTCAGACCAGAGCTACGACTACCTGACGGACTGGGGGCCGCGCTTCAAAAAGCTGGCCGAGATGTACGGTGCCACGGACAGCAGTGGGGCTCTGTGGTAACGGACAAGGAATGGCTGAGGGGTTTCCACGGGAAACAGTGTCCGGTTAGGTCCATTCTCATCAGATGCTTCCATGGACATGGGTGAGGCCTCCTGAAAAATAGCAATACGGTGCTTGGGTGAGAATGGGAAGAAGGGTGCGAATGAAGGTCTCTCTGGATCAGCTTTACTCAGTTAAATTAAGTCACACTTCTGAAACAGTGAGAAGCAGAAGGAAGAAAGTTTTTTCCTGTTTTTTTTTTTACAGCAAAATTGGAAAGCTCCACAACTGGAATATAATGACACTCTCTTTCTTTCCCCCCCGCCCCGCCTCGTTCTCTCTCTCCCTTGTACACGGCAGCTTACTGAGCTCTATGCATCTGGATTCAAAGATCTGTAAACCCCAGCTGTAATCTCCAACTCACTGAGAAATTGCCGGTATAGAAAAGTGGTTCCCCACCGGTTATTTTTCCCCCAATAAAAAAGAAAAAAAATTGCTTGCTAACCAAGAGGGGGAAAAAAAAAAAAACCACAATGCAGAAAATTGGCACTGGAATCTCAGAGGGCTCTTTGTCAACTAAACCTCCCCTCTCTGTTGCTAACAGAGTCCCTTTTTTAATCCTTTAGAAACAAGGCTGAGGTTTTTTTTCCACCTGGCCGAGCGGGCTGGGGAAGAGGCTTTGAATTTCTGCTCTAGTTTAATGGCTGATCTATGAGCATTAACACTAATCCATCTCCTATCAAGTTTGTGTAAATTTGTTCTCAGCTCTTTAAAACCATGACTCCGCTAAACTGCTCAGAACAAAACCAGAAAATCTGCCTCTTTTGCACTGTAGATGTCTCTTCCATGTGCCAAATGTGAAGATTAGATTCTACCAATGAAAGCCAAATAAATTTTAAAAAAAGAAAAAGCTATATTTGGTAACTACATGGGTTAGATGGGCTTTCCTAATCTGTGTGAGGTCAATCCAAGGGATGTTTACATACTGTAGATAACCTACTTGAACAAATGCAGTATTATAGACCAATAAATGGATGTAAGAAAATTACATGTATAAGTTTTGTATATTTGTTAATTTTGGTAATAAATATGATGTACTGCATACAGTACAGTACCTTAGCACCTCTTTTAATAAAAGTTAAACAGAAGGGAAAGTCTGATGGCAATTTATTGACTACTTTGCAAGACAGCAGTTAGTGCTTGCCTGTGGCTTTACATGCCTTGAGCATCAAGAAGAAATGATTCATCAGCATCGTGTCAAGGAGACAAGCCTTCAGTTTGCCAGTTTGAGCAGATGGTATGCTTCTTTTATTGGTGTTCACTTGGACATTGGCCTTAGCAGTGAATAAGCCCAAGTGCAGCCCACCAGACTAGTTACTTTTTCTATGCCAACCATGCTGAAGTCAAAAGAAAGTCTTGGCTGATTTTTTCGAAACGTTATGGCTGGGGCATTGAGCAGCTTAGAAACCAGTTACACAGCCCTGACAGAATCTGCTGCTTTCAGAGACATGGCAGACTGTAACACGCAGTATCAATTTCTGGTCATGCTTACTCTGCAGTCAAAGATTTGAGCCTGGATCTTGTTTTGTTTGCACCTGTAAATAGGAAGAGCCAGGGAAATGACACTAACACAAGCTTCACAGAAGGCAGCAAAAGGCTTCTGAAAGCCCGAGTCTGCAATGACATTTGCAGGTTTCTTTCTAGCTAGGGACTCTCTCCATCTCAGATTGCCCAGAAAATAGAGGTGCAGACATAACCACCCAGTTACCACACTGTTACCATGTGCATACTGTGCTCAGTTCCTGTTGCAGAAGTGTGCAAAACACTGCTGCCTCTACTTAGCCTCATCTTAGGGTGTCCTAATTTAAGGCAGGGGCCTTGTTTCCACAGACTTGTACGAAGTCATGCACCCCTTGAGAGCCAGGCAGCCAGAAAGGAAAAAAAGTTTTAGTGACTTCTCAAACATTTGCTCATCTGGCATGATGAAAATCTCTGCCTTCGCAAATGTAATATACCATGGATTCAGCTTATCACCTGAACCTGCCTTACCCCATTGCAGAAAGAGCACTGAAAATTATGTGGTAATGATTCTTTTACTCATCCTGTAGCACTTACCCTCACATATCATATTGATTTTATGACACTAGACAAAGAAGTGTAGCCACCATGATCAAGGAAGTGGTGTAAAACATGCAAAAATGGCATTGAGACTTCTGAAAGCTTCCTCATCTCCTGACGCCACAATAATCACAGAACATAGGGCAGGAATGAAGACAGAGAGGATGTCTATTCTACCACTTCCCTGTTTGAATTAATCATCAAGTTTATGTATTTTAGGCAGGTGCCTGTTTATTCTTAAAACCCCCAGCTGTAACCTTTCCAGGCAATCTTCCACTGCATCAATATATTCAGTATTAAAAGCCTTTCCTGGGAAGTATAAGGCAAGTATCCCTTGCTGCCATACAAGCCTGCAATGCACATAGATGAGTTTGTCCCTCTGTAGAGCTACGGTTTGGTATTTTCAAACCATTACTGTCTCTCCCTTTAGTCCCAGTCTACAGTAACATGAAGTTCTTCGTGTCCTGATACCACAATGGTTCGCTTCTCCCATGGCAGGCAGAGTGGGATGAAGGAGGGTAGAAATGCAGTCCAGCATCATATTGCCTTCCGCTTGAAGATGCCTACTGCATTTACTGAGGGTTTTTCCAGGAAAAGCTGCTTCAAAGTCTGGTTTTACTCCACAGAAGCTCGCAGCAGTGGCCTCTGCGAGACAGGCTGTGCAGCAGCTGAGACCGGCTTCCCCGTGTGTGCATCACCCGATGGGGAAGGACCAGCGGCGCTTGTGTCAGGCTCTGACACTCACACCACAGGGGAGCCTGCAGGGAGATCGGGCTCGGAACCCGCCTTCCCGAGCTGCACGCCACCCCTAGGCTGTCTGATTATCCCCAAGTTTGCCTCGGCTGGTGAGCCCAGTCAACAGTCAGACAGCTTGGTGCTGTGACACTTACCAGCTGGTGTCTCTTAGGCACTTGGCAGCCCGGCTTTTTTTTTTTTCCCATTTTTTGGAACAGGTGACAGTGTTTTTGCGATCTATGAAATCTCTATGCAAACAACCAACACTTGTATCTATCACCCTCCCACAAACAAAACGCTCTGGTTTTACTGATGAGATATTAAAAAGATCCACTTATGCACACATCAGGGCTCAGGAGGCCTGAGCCAAGGTAGAAGAGGGGAGAAGACTCTAAGCCAGGGTGCTCAGCCTGCCATGGTGGAGGGACTGGCCTTCTCCGCACCAGCAGGCACCTCCAAGTGACAGCCCCAATCCTGAGTGGGACCCACTCTCTGTCCACTGCCCTGGTGTAAGGGCAGAAAAGCCAGAGGGCCAGAACAGGATCCCATATGCCCTCACCAGTGTCCCCAGTACCCCCGTGCTCCGACACTGGTCTGAGTGCATAGAGCTTTTATCACTATTAATTTCATTTTGTTCCTCTGACGACTCTTTTTTCCCCCACAGCTTCCAATTCTCAGGCAAAAGCAAAAGGATTTACCATCCAGGAACAATCCCCCTAGTCTCAGCCATGGATGAAAATAAATGGTTCAGGAGAAAAAATAAGAGAGGGTGTAAAACATTTTACTAATTCCAGCCACTTAAAAATAGAGCATACGGCCTAAGCAACCCATCTAAGCTCACTCTCTAACTAACAGACCTAGACAAAGAGCGATTCATTCCCCCCCCGCCCCCGTCTTGGCCATCTGTATGACGCTACGGCCCTCTGGAGGTGCTTCGCTCTCAGCTAATGGCCTGGCCTCTGGGGATTTATCCAGGCGCTTCAGAGACTGGCCCTAGGCATGACATTCCCAAGTCCTCTGCTCTATATTTGGTTTTATGCATGACCATGGGCAAACACTACAGTCTCTGATGTTTTCCTTTTCCCTTCCTACCATGCATCTCTGTCTTGTCTAGGTAGATTGCATGACCTGCCATCTCTTATACTGCATTGGTCATGGCATCTGGGCTCTGAGTAGCAGCTCTCTAAGCTGCCTGTCAAGAGCCCAGATCTCTTCAGAGCAAAATGCAGAACTCAAGAATGCATAAAAAGAGTTAACCTCATTCTTCCTGGTGTAAATTTCTTACAAAGCTGAATTTCATTTGCTGCTGCATTGCCCATTTATCCAGCTTTATTAGGTCCCTCTTGGTTTTGTCATTTCTCCTTCAGCTTTTATTGCTCTTAATCATTTTATGCTGCTGTCACATTTGCTGCCTATGATCCCCCTTTAGACTGTTCATTAAAACCAATAGTGACACAGATCCTTGGGGGACCCAAAAGTTATATTTTGGTCACCTTGAAATATGATTTACTAGCTTGTGCCTGGGTTTTGCTAGGTGCAACTGTCATATAGCACAAACTAGAACCTGCTTCATTGCCTGCTGCCTGACCACAGCTCCCAGGAACCATCAAACCGGAGGGACGGATGGGTCCCAAAGGTCTGCCTGCATATGCACCACATCTTACCTGTCCTGGCCATGACTAAGAGAAATAAAGCACGTAAAAGAGGCACAAATGATGCCTGATAGACCCCAGGGAAGTTAGGACCTAGACAAATTCAAAGTTGAGCAGATTCAGTTGCTTTTGCCTTTGTGCTGCCAGGGTCTTATTACCAAGGTGCTGTCGGATGCGATCACTTTGGTTTATGCTAGGTTTTAGCTACCAGTTAGACCAAACCTGGGAGAGGCTGCTGCTCCTCAGGAGAAAGTGAGTTCAATAACAAGTGAGGACAGCATGTGAGGAAATCCATACTGTTGCAAGCTAAATATGTTGCTGCTGTCCCTCCTCCTGTCTGTCAGGATGTGAGGCAGCCCGCTGCATCCTGCTCCAGCAATAGCCCTTAATGGATTCCCTTCACATGAAGCTGGTGTAAATGGGGAGCAGGGCTGTCCAAGACATCCTAATTCGTGCCTGCTGAGGTCTGCAGCACTCAGAAGCAGGGGAGCTGCCTTTCACTCAGCCGTGCCCTGT